TAAAATATATATATATTTTTAATTTTAGCAAAGTGATGTATACACAGTTAAAGTATTTGATACAACAAAAGTTTTTTTGTTCTGATGCAACAGAAGTTTTTCTTTTTTTAACTAGCTTTCTCTACAATGATTTGCCTAGTTAAGCAACACTCTCCCTTCCCTAGATGTGCCCCACTGACCACTGCTCACAACTAGCTGAACACTGGAGCCTCTGAGGCTGCCTCTCTAACCTACCTGTAAACTTCTGACACCGCCCCCTCCCCTCGTGGGGATATATGTGGATCAGGAGTCAATTGTGTTTCTAAACCTGCTGTGCCAATTATACTTATTTGTATAGTTATTCAATGCAGTTATAAAATATGTAAACCAAGGACATATAGGTACATAAAAGAATTGCTATTTCTATAAAAAATGCTCTGGAAAGACTCAATAATGTTGAGTCATTAAAAATAAAATGCTATAGAATAAGGTGTGAATATAATGGTTAAATATTAGGAAAAGACTCAAATCTCAAAGGATTTTGTTTTGTGTCTTCAAGTTCTCAATATACTTTAATGGAATTGAAACTAGAAATTATAGATGATATGGGCATGGCTTATGTAAAAAAAAGTGTAGAACTGGAAATATGTAGTTATATTCTATATGCAGAAATCTAGGTCATGTTCCCATGAAATTCTTCTGGTATTAATTTTTTTCTTTTTCAAATTTTTATTTAAATTCTAATGAGTTAATATATAGTGAAATATTGGTTTCAGGAATAGAATTTAGTGATTTGTCACTTACATATAACACCTGGTACTCATCATAAGTCTGGTATTAAATTAGATAAAGTTCACATAAAATGCTAGCAGAATGTCTGATTTTTTTTTGCGTGTCTGATATTTAATAAGGATTCAGTACATCCTAGATATTATTGTGGTTATTACTAATTTAATAATTGTGCATCCAAGTAATTTTAGAAGAAAACAGAAAAGAAGGTAAAGTTAGACCAAATTAATATTTCAAAAGAAAATATTGGGACAAATTTTCAAATCCAACAACAAAATGTTAGACAGCAGAGAACCTAAACTTCACTGTGATTATTTTTGTATCAGAACACCAGTATATAAAATTAAGGGTATTGATAATCGCATTTCTGCAAGGTTTAGTTGGAGGGGAAAAAAAATCTGATTCATTCATGAAGTGTAACCGTATTTAAGTTTTAATAACAAATTGCCACGCAGTCTTAGGAAACTGTCCAATATTTTCCTATCTTTCCTTTTAGGTTAGGTAAGGATGATGGTAAACAACACAATTAGTTTCTCACTGTGGCCAGAGGAATTATGTTGAGAACAGTGCATTGTGGTTATATTTGTGTTCTCTCTCGAGTGTGAGATCTCTTTGGCTCGGTGTGCTATTTATGATACATGGAGCCCTCAAACCCTGAGGAAAAAGATTGGTGAAATGCTATTTTTTTTTAAGATTGATTTCCCGTCAGGCCTATTCACTTAGTGTGGTGCTTATGCCAAGTTTCAACAGGTGAAACGTGCTTTACTACCAACACCGAAAATGACTCAGAAGAAAGTCATGTGGTGACGGGGAAGATCTTTCATTAGATTGTCTCTACTACTAAATTAAGCCTTCAATATTGTAATCCATCTTATAAGTACAATATAAGTACATGTACACTGGATGTGAGGTTTAAACTCTTATTAATATTAGGGGCTGTGGCCAAAACCCAATTAATTTCTGCTACGTGAAACAAGCCTGAATGCTGACATTTAATGTCATTTTCACAGCTGATGGTGTAAGAATATTCATAGTTATTTAATATATGATCATATAGCAAGGAAGTCAGTCTACATTGATTGTATGGACTGAGCCCAATATCCGAGGTAGTCATTACATTAAAAAATATATAGGAATAGCAATGATATAGAAGATATAGCCTTTATCTTTAAAAACTATACACACTATTAACATTATTGAGTGGTGAAGGAGGATGCTTTTTTTTTATGAGACAATTCATTAACTTAAAATAAGTTAATAACTTGGGCAGCCTGGGTGGCTCAGCGGTTTAGCACCTGCCTTCAGCCCAGGGTGTGATCCTGGAGACCCGGGATCGAGTCCCGCATCGGACTCCCTGCATGGAGCCTGCTTCTCCCTCTGCCTGTGTCGCTGCCTCTCTCTCTCTCTCTCTCTCTCTCTCTCTCTCTCTGTCTCTCATGAATAAACAAATAAAATCTTTTAAAAAGAGAGAGAAAGGGATCCCTGGGTGGCGCAGCGGTTTGGCGCCTGCCTTTGGCCCAGGGTGCGATCCTGGAGACCCGGGATCGAATCCCACATCGGGCTTCCGGTGCATGGAGCCTGCTTCTCCCTCTGCCTGTGTCTCTGCCTCTCTCTCTCTCTGTGACTATCATAAATAAATAAAAAATAAAGAGAAAAATTGGCAGACCGTGGTTTCCTGGGGCTGGAAGGAGAGAGGGGAACTGGGAGCTGGTATAGAGTTTCATTCATGCAGCATGAACAAGTTCTAGAGATCTGCTGCACTATATTGTGCTTTATAGTAAACTGTATTGTACTGTACACTTTAAATTTTGTTAAGAGGGTAGGTCTCCTGTCTGTTTTTTACCACAGTACATTAAAAAAAAAAAGGAATAAAAGAAATCGGCAGATGACCTTGCACAGCCTATATATTTGAGTGATCGTGGAGATGGGGAAAAGAACCTGTCGTGTTCACATTTTTTAAGTAAATGATTTGATCGTTATAAGCCAGAACTTAAAAGCAAAACCTGATGAGAACAATTCCTCATGCAATCAATAAGCAACTTACCAGAATATCATAAGAGATAAAGGAGCAGCCACATTTAACTTTTCGAATAGTCATTTTTTCTACATCAATTTAATTTCCTCCCATGGTTATGTAACAGATTATATAAACAATGAAAATATGCTGAATAAAATCAGTTTTGTATGGAGGAAGATTCTGGGTTCTAGCCTAAACAATATTTTTTCACCAAGCCTTGAAAGTGTGATCCCAATCATGCTACTGTTACATGGGTGAAAAAGTAAATATAGAGTTGCAATTACATCAAAGTGGGTTGAAGCAGTGGATTACATATCAAGTTCCAGCCCATGGGGATCAGTTGTACTGTAAGGCCTATAACTTATTGATGAACTATACAAATGACTTATAAATGCCTTCATCCAAAATGCAGAAATTTCTAAATCAAGTGGAGCTGCTTATACCAGGAAACTCATGACAATGCAATTCAGAGTGCCCTTGGATATATTTTTTAAATGATTCTAAAGGCAAAATACTATTTAATTGACATAAGTATAAACTGCGTATTTTGGCACAAATGGCATTAGTGAAAGATTGGTTAAAAAGGTAAATACCTATAGGACCTTTGTTGCCAGTAGAATTAGAAAATGAGTATCATAAATGAGTTACATTGATAGGAAGTTATTTAAATGGCACAGGATAGCAAACAGATTTACTCCTATCACTGCTTACGCCTTACCATTCTTAAGTACTTGTTCAAGTTATTATCAACATACTTTGAAAGGGATATTTTTAAAAAGACAGCATACAGAGAGCAGAACATGATATATACATGTATTCAATATAAGATATATATTAATACATAGTTTGGCATGTAATATATTATATATAATATATAAATATACGGTTTAGCATGTAATATTATTTAATTTTATGTAAATTATACTATATAATATATCAAAATAATATATTATGTAAAAATGTGATATGGTATACAGTATATAATATGCATTGTATATTATATATGTACAATGTGTTATTTAAGGGAAGAATAGGAACTATGTAGTCTAGAAAACAGAAATCTAGAGTCATATAATTATCCGTCTTGAAGCTCCCTAGAATTGTTTTCCGAATGAGTTGAGACTCTCCTCTCCCCATGGATGACTAAGCCAGAAGGAATTTACTGTGTTACATTTAGCAACTTCATCTGGCAGAAAGAGGTCCTTTCTTGATTATCAGGATGAAAAATCATTGGCTCAAGGAAAACTCAAAGATTTTTCTCTTAGATCTCTTTACTACAAAATAAACGAACATTAGTTCTGGATGATTTAATATCCATGGGATCACTTCCCTCAAAGAGCCCTTTTTCTTTCATCCTAGATTTTAGTTCATTTACTCTTCCAAGCTTCACAGATCAAGGTATCCAACAGTGAGCCATGCATACTCCACCATGGCTCCAGGAGATGCACATAGCATTATCTATTCCGAATATCAATTTTATTCAAAGAGATCTGTCCCAAGTACTGAAAGAATCTAAGCAGAAAATATAATTGTATGTAAACAAAGATTTACACAATTCTAGACAGGAAATATAATTGGTTATTAACATACTGACACATAATGAAGTAGAATGCAAAGAATCCAGGAAAATGTTCTTCCCTTCAGTGGACATATTCCAGTTTTACCTACCAGTCCCCAGCTCCATTTCTCTGATGCAGAAGGAAACAGGCACAAGACTTAGTCTTTTCTGTGGCAAAGTTTGAAGGTAATGCCCTGTTTCCTGATAAGTGACACCAAGCCTGTCACCTCTTCAGTAGCCCAGAAACACAAGAGTGAGATATTCTATTCCATGACCCTTACTCCCAACACCTCATGATTTTCTTTGCTAGAAAGAAAATACTGGAGGCAGTGACATCTTTATGTATGTAGGATGTTTTTATTTTTGTTTTGTTTTTTCACTTTTGTTTTTTGTTTGTTTTGTATATATTTTTTTATTGAAGTTCAATTTGCCAACTTATAGTATAGCACCCAGTGCTCATCCTGTCAAGTGCCCTCCTTTGTGCCCGTCACCCAGTCACCCCATCCTCCCACCCGCCTCGCCTTCCACTACCCCTGTTTGTTTCCCAGAGTAAGGAGTCTTTCATGTTTTGTCACCCTCTCTAATTTTTTGTAGGATGTTTTAAGATATATTAGCATACAATGGTAATACATGAACTTCCTTTCTCTTCTTTTCCAGGATGGGAGCCAGTAAATTACCTGCAGCCAGCATCCAGAATCAGTGAGTCAATTTTACTTACATTTAGTCTCAGGTAACTATAGATAAGCAGAGCAACAACAGGAATACCTGAAAACCCCATTGTGTCACTTTGATTTTTTTATTTTTAAAAATGATACTTTTTTAAAATTTTATTTATTTATTCATGAGATACAGAGAAAGACAGAGACAGAGACAGAGGCAGAGAGAGAGAGAAGCAGGCTCCATGCAGGGAGCCCGATGCAGGACTTGATCCTGGGACTCCAGGATCACGCCCTGGGCCAAAGGCAAGTACTAAACTGCTGAGCCACCCAGGAATCCCTCGTGTCACCTTTAAACACCTGTTCTTACAGTAATGTCACCAGAAAGCAAAGCCTGGGTGCCATTGTTGGGGTGTATAGTCTTAAAAGGTGGGGAAGAGAAGCAAGCAAACCATGATCCTTGCCCTCAAGGAATTTACAAAGGAAACCAAAGATTTTGAAAATAGATTTCAGTTATATCCAGCTTAATGAATAATTAATGTTCATCTTATATGAAAAAGCTTACATTTTTCCTGTTTTTATTTTTAAAGCGTTTAACACTTCCCTAGGACATTGGGCTATAATTCCCAGAAATGCCTTCAACTATGAATGTAGTAAAACCTCATTAATTCAGATATTGCTAATACACAATTTTTGAAAATTTGACCTAGAATAAGATGAAATTTACCTTTAAATTGTCTGCAAGGAATGGATTTGATAAGAGAAATAGAGGGAACACCTATAACTTTTTTAAAGAGAATAATTGTTTTCATGGCTTTTGCATATACAGTGGTCTTTAGGCAAAAAGATACAGCTATAAAGTCAGGATCCATGTCATTAAGTAGATGTCTCCTTAGACAGACTTTATTGGCAGGTTATAGTATTGAAAGTAATAAAACTGCATTGCTTCCAATAAATTCTGACTTCCATAATTCAGGCTAGCTTCTCCCTTTTCCTCCCTACCTCGCCAAACTCATTATTCCAATCTAATGAAGTTTACTATTGTGTTATATATGAACATAGAATTTATTAATAGAAGATCAATTCCTATTATGTTACTTTTTAAACTTACAAATATAATTTTTATTTTTTTGGATGCTTATCTGCAACACTGATCACTTGAATGACAGTAGTATATTTACTTTTACAAGAAAGATGATATATAATCCCTCTCCTGCTCCATGACTTCATTTAACAGTCCATTTTTTTTTAATTTAAAACCCAATATTTTCACAAAGCAAGCAAGACAAATTCTCAGGATAATAGAGGAGATTTAAAATGAGGGGGGGGAAGCCTGAAAGCAGATCATGTCCCCTTGAGGCATGTTGAAAAATTTGAGTAGTAACTGAATCACTATTCATCCCTCTGTCCATCCATCCATCCATCCATCCATCTATCCATTCAACAGTCAAGGGCCATACTTATTACTTCAAGATGTGCGAGATAAATAAAATTTTCTTCTTGTCTTCATTGTGCTGGCACCCATAGCCTGAAAATGAGATGGAGACAAATAATTTTCTGGTGTGATAAGTGATTGTGTTTTCCTTGTCAGCAAAGTGCTTTGGGAATACAGATAATATACCACTAAATCTGACTGGAGTAATTGGGGAAATATTCATAGCAGTTATAACATTTGAGCACATTCTTTTTTTTTTTATTTATGATAGTCACACAGAGAGAGAGAGAGAGAGGCAGAGACACAGGCAGAGGGAGAAGCAGGCTCCATGCACCGGGAGCCCGACGTGGGATTCGATCCCGGGTCTCCAGGATCGCGCCCTGGGCCAAAGGCAGGCGCCAAACCGCTGCGCCACCCAGGGATCCCATTTGAGCACATTCTTAAAGAATGAATAGAATTTCTGCAGCTAGAGAGAAGGACAATATTTCAAATCAATATAAGCAGAAGTACAGAGGTAGGGAAGCACATGGAGTGCTCAGAAAAACAGAGCAGACATAATGAGTTACAGAAAGTTGAGAAGTGGGGGAATAGTATATGGAATATAATACAGGTACACTGCTTAGAAAATGTGCCCTACTTGGTGATTAGAAACAGCAGTGGAGATGAAAGGTTTGAGACTTGAAAGGTGAAGAAATGAAACAAGATAAGGCCATTCATGGACAATTGCGAGAAGTTTTATTTTTTTATATTTTTAATTTTTTTTTAATTTTTTTATTTTTTTTTATTTTTTTATTGGAGTTCAACTTGCCAACATATAGCATATCACCCAGCACTCATTCCGTCAAGTGCTCCCCTCAGTGCCCGTCACCCAGTCACCCCAGGCCCCCGCCCACCCCCCCCTTCCACCACCCCTTGTTCGCTTCCCAGAGTTAGGAGTCTCTCATGTTCTATCTCCTTCACTGATATTTCCCACTCATTTTCTCTCCTTTCCTCTTTATTCCCTTTCACTATTTTTTATATTCCCCAAATGAATGAGACCATATAATGTTTGTCCTTCTCCCATTGACTTATTTCACTCAGCATAATACCCTCCAGTTCCATCCACGTCGAAGCAAATGGTGGGTATTTGTCATTTCTAATGGCTGAGTAATGTTCCATTGTAAACATAAACCACATCTTCTTTATCCATTCGTTTTTAGATGGACACAAAGACTCCTTCTACAGTTTGGCTATTATGGACATTGCTGCTATAAACATCAGGGTGCAGGTATCCTGCCGTTTCACTGCATCTGTATCTTTGGGGTAAATCCCCAGCAGTGCAATTGCTGGGTCGTAGGGAAGTTCTATTTTGAACTCTTTGAGGAACCTCCACACAGTTTTCCAGAGTGGCTGCACCAGTTCACATTCCCACCAACAGTGCAAGAGGGTTCCCCTTTCTCCACATCCTGCGAGAAGTTTTAAGACTATAGAATAGAATCAACCTCTCTCTGAGATAGAAGAGGGGTAAAAAGAAAATAAATTTGAAGGTGAATGTAAAGAAATTTGAGTAAGTTTATGTGTGGGAGCTTCAATTTTCTTTCTACATGGTTAGATAAGCATGGGCTGTAGAATAAATAGGAGGACACAAGTTTGCATCCTACATGAATAACATAACATGGGCAGGTCACATAACCTATCTACATTTCAGTGTTATCTTCTGTAAAAGAGAGGCAATAATGACATTTAACTCATAGGTTGGGGGACTATATAATGCACATGAAAGCATGTTCTATATTCTAAAGCGACTTTATATTGAAAAGCAGCCGGATGTAGTTGCCAGAACACATGCTGAGTCACCTCACCGAGCTCTTGTCTATAAAGTGGGGATAACAATATGGAGCTCTTAGGGGTTACCAAGATTATTAAAGATAAGATTTATACAACGTATGCACACAAAGGTGCTCTGCCAATGGGAGCTGATAGATGGTTATCATCTGTGAGGAGTCTCCTGGGAAAGAGAAGAAAAGCGCAATGGGAAATGAAAACAAGAAGGGGCCATGTAAAGACATTTTTAAGCAGAATTACAAGTCCATTCTGAAAACGTGACTTCGCATGTATAGTTACACCTATAAGCTCCAGGGCAGCCAAAATACATGGCTTGATGGGCTGGAGTTGGGGAAGGTCAAAGCAGGGACTATGCTATTGAGGGAACAGTTGGAAATGTTGGTCAGTGGAGATCCGAGAAGCTTGCAGGCCTGCTGCTTCTGCGACACCTGTACTCCAGCCTCAACACTGAGTCAGCAGAACACTGTCTTTTCTTTTTCTTTTTTTTTTTTTTTAAACACTGTCTTTTCTATTCAGTGTCAGCTGCCTGTGATTCTAAGGTTCTTATCATTACCAAGTAACGAGTGAGATGCCTAACTACCCCAAAGTCAAATACTCTCCCTTCATCTAAGCTCCAGTACTACTCAGAGAACCCTTGATTCTCAGTCTTCTCCAGCCTATGCCCAGCTTTAGTTCTTCCCTAGATATAAGGCAGTGAAAAAGTTTTCCACCTCCTCTGGAATACACTAGCACTAGAGTTTGAACCAAGTAAAAAGGAACCAGACTGTGTGCCCATACTCCCTCATGCCATCGGCACCCAGAGACTTCAGTCCAGAATTCACTGGTTACAACAGGCAGGGCCACACTTTCTCTCCCACACGTGGAAGTGGGTTATCTCACTGGCCACTAAGATAATGGCCAGTGTCCTCCTGAAATGTTTAGTGAACCTTGGGGACCCCAGCAGAAAGCTGCCAAAATCTATCATGATAGCTACTAAACTTACCTCAGAGGGAGATTTGAATTGCTAGAGCGTGTCCTCAATTTGCCAAATGGCAGTAATAAAGAAAATATAGGCGATATTGTGCACATTATTGACTCCTATTTTAATTAATGTAAGACACATTCCTCATTTGGGAGCCTGGTTGATTCATTCACTCGGTAATTATTCATTAAGGATATATTAAATTCAAGGTACCACTATCCAAGATCTTTAAAGATAATGAACACAGGCATCTTCCATGGGTAACATTTGAAACATAAGGAAAACCCTGACAAATTCAGACAAAATTCTAGATTCTCTGTGAGGGTACAACTACAGAGACTCATTAGGGCTTGGGAAACTCCAGAGCTTTTTCTTCTCTCTCCTCAGGCTTAGATCCCCAAAGTCCACTCTGCTGTGAATACCACCAACAGGGATCATCACAGAAAATTCACTTCTAAGCACCCTGCTTTCTATATGAGGCAGCTGGGGTAAACTGTGAATATGTAGATTGTTCCAGAACATATGATGTCATCTCTCCCCACATGCCCTACAGATCAGGAGCCATGCTAAAGTGCAGCCCATCTCTGCCTTTTCCAGAGTAGGGAGCACCATGAGAGGCTGATACTGACTGGGCATCAGACTGGCTCTTCTCCTACCATGCCACACACATCCCTCAGCCCTCTCTTGAATGTGCTCTAATTGCCGGGTGCTGTCTACAACCCATCCTTTTCATTCCTACGTAGTTTGTATGCAGTCTTCATTCTAGATCTGCTAGAGGAAGCGATTCACCCCTCATTAAAAACAGACACCGATATTTCACTCC